TTATCGCACAAGCCCGATTCTAATTGTAAGATGCTGGAAGCGGAACCGTCAGGAGTGCAACCTTGCATTCGCGAATAATCTCGGCCGAACATCTATCGATTTTAACGGCTTCCCTCTGACTTGCTCAACTATACAATTTTTGAAGTTGCATTTTTAGCAGAATGCACCAATAAGATAACGAAAGATATATAAAGTACGAAGTATATTTCAAGACTGGATTTTATTTTAACTATCGTGATATATTGCAAGAAATTAGATAAATAGTTAAAAGAAATAACATCTTACGATTAGTTTTTCGCAAAAATAATCGACATAATATCGGATACATTAAAGTTTCAAGTTCTTTGAACAGTCAGATTCTGACGTTTTAGAATTCACGTTTAGAAAACGATAATAGTGAAAGTGGTCCAATGATAAACAAATAAGATTCAGTTAATTATAATTCGAATAACTCGCACGTTCCTACGTCCGGGACTGACAATGAGACCAAAGCCTAAAACCGATATCGCGATACTCCAGATCTTAAAGGAGTGAGAGCGCCGCTGCCGATTCGGCGTACTCGATAGTCATCTGTTACGTTACGTTGGGATAGGTCGGCACGGCGGCGGGTACGTGGTGCACACGAACATGGTGCCGAGAAATTGGATCGTCCATTCTACCGGGTGGCGCGCGCGGAGCTGGGACTTAGGGAGCCCGGGCTCCGATCGTATCGCGCGTACGCGGAAACCGGAAGGATTGAAGCGGACTCCCCGAAGCTTGATGAGCCGAGACCGAGCGTTCACGCCGCAGGAGTTCCGTAGGAACCCGGAGAAAATGAAGAAAAAAAAGAGAGTAGGAAGAGCGGGAGAGGACGCGTGGAGCGTAGGAAAAACGCGCGCGCTCGCGCGCGACGCGCGTAAATGTTGCGCAATGCCGCGCGAGAGAGAATCGCGGAGAAAACATCGACGAGAATTCCGTTACTCGGGGCGAACGGCGGCCGCCGTCGTTGCTTTGCGTCGTGTTTGTGCTACGAGCGAGAGTATGCACCGCGTGCATATATGCGTGCACGAGTGTATGTGTGTGTGTGTGTGTATGTATATACGTTCTTTGCGGCCGGGTCTGCCGTTAGAGAGCGAAATTCGCTTCCGGAGCTGAAATACCTAGAAGAGGAGCCTCCTTTTCTTCGTTGTTATCTTCTTGTCGTTCTGACGTTTTGCCCGTGTCGCGAACATATGTGTGTCACGTTGCGATAGGTCGGGAGGTCGAGCGCAAATGAAATATATACGAGGAATAGTTTACTCGAGGTCCTCTTCCAGAATTCCGCGGATGGACGCGAATACGCTCGAGAGGATTTGGATGCCAATTTCCGCGAAGCTTGGTTCCGCGGATTGAAGATATTTTGTAGAGTCTCTATTCTATTCCTAAAGTCTGCTATTCTCTTCTTACTTCTCTTTCCTCTCCTCTCTTTCTCTCTTTTCATCGCGGTATTCGATCGCGGAAAATCAGAAAAGAAGAGATTCGCGATTCCACGCGATACGTTCTTCGAGCACCTGTGAATTCTGAACTTCACGAACTCATCATTGACCGTCAGTGTCGTACAATCATCCGAATGTTTCGCGCATGGATGTCAAAAATCGATTGCCAAGATCGCATCGAAATTAGTGCTCGTAATGAGTCGCGGGGCATCTCTAGGTACACGCGCGCTGCTCGCGTCGGGTGGTCGCGTTCGCCGGCGCGTGTCCACAATTGGGAAAAATCGCGGTTCCGTCGGAACGTGTTCGAGGGCCGAAGCCAGCCCGGAGAGGTTCGCGTTGCAGCGAGGTCGATGTCCGGGCGCAACAAGTGCGCTCGAGACTCTCTCGCTCTCGCTCCTGTCTTTCTCTTTCTGGACGCGTTTGCGATCGGCTTCGATAACGCCGCGCGACTTTCGACGGCGTGGCGCGGCAGCGGCCGGCTCTTTCGCCGATCGCGAAGCGTCGACCTCCGAAATACGCCCGAAACACGCGCCTCGCCTCGCGTCGCGGCGCTCTCTCGCTCGCTCGCTCGTGCACGGATTTAGAGACGGCCGTAACGAGAGCGCCGGAAGCCGAACGACCTTTTTGAGGTTGCGCCGCGGCGCGCCAAGTTTTCGCTTCGGAGGGAGAGAGAGAGCAAGCGGGAGAGAAGGAGCAGCGAGCCAGTCAGATGCGGCGCGTAGTGACGCTCAAGTGTGAACAAGTATCGATCTTTTTTGAATCGGTAGATACGACAAATGTCATAATTGTCTTGTTTTTTTTTTTTTTACAAATTTTTAGCCGTTTTTTGTGTTAATCGAAGAAACGATCGATTGTGATTGTATTACAGGGAGATTTAATAATAATTGTAGACTTCTTGCTGAGACAACTATATGTAAATAAAATTATATTTTGCAAAATTCTTTTAAATTACATAATTTCTGAACCTCATCTTAGAAAATTTTTAAGGGAGGTATTTCGTAATTTTGAATTGTAATATTGAATAAATCAGTTTGTATGAAATATAGGAACTTTGCAGTCATCAATGTTGATATGAATCTTTTGACGAATTGCTCTGTTTGAATAAAAAATCAAACAGACACTATAATACATATAAAAATAAACAAATGTTTCACAATTAAAGAAATACTGTTTATTCGACGTCCGATAATTGAAGAGCTATTTCTGAACTATCTCAAAATTCACGTTCTTGAGAAACGTGAGCTATGGTAAACTCTTGTAACAACTTGATTTTTTCGAAAGAATTGAAGACTATATAAGTAACGGGAGATGTTTGGAGACAAGAGTCTCCGATGTCGAAGGTATAGAGATGTCAATATTCGGGCAATATCAAGTGTATTATCACGAGCGTCCCTTGGACGCGCCGCGGCGCGGAGCCTCGGGTTGAGCGCAAGAGGTCGACGTCCGGGCGCGCAACAAGTGCCGCACTACGTACACGTACACAGACCGCTACCTCCTACCTCCTACCCCCTCCCCATGGGCGCGCACGTACATGAGGCTCGCCTTCTGCCAGTTCTGCCTCGCTCACTCGCACAATCGCACGACCACCGCGGCGCGCGGCGCGGCGGTACGCCTCTCCGCCCCCTTGAGGAAGGCATCCCTCCGTCACTGTCCCTCTGTCGCGCGCTTCTTTTGCTTCTCTTTGCTTTTCTGTGCCACCTCGGCCGAGAGGAAGGAAGAGAAACGGGAGTGACGGAGCGAGAGACACGAACGGACAGAGTGGACGGAGAGGGGGCGAGGGCGCGCGTTTTTAGAGGAAGGGAGACGGAGGGGGACGCGTGACCGTGCTCCACCGCGCGCACCACGCACCGTCGTCGGTAAATATAAAACTGCACTGGGTCAGGGATCCGTGATTTATCGGCTGCCTCGTGTAATTGGCCGCCGGCCAATAGATATATACCCCCCTTGGCTGCGTTGCGTGAGAGGGGCCGCGCGGGGAACGGGAAAACGCGATACTCGCGTCTAACGTTAGCCTCTCCCTTCTCGCCCCCCCTCTTTCGTTTCCGAACACGCGGCTACTTATTCCCGCGCGATGATCTTGATCACCGATTAGCCTTCTTCATCTCTGGAATCGGGTCTGACTTGTTCAGAATTCTTTACGACGAGGGAAATGCCTTATTTTGCGTGTATCGAATAGCGTCCGTGTACGTGCCGTGTACGTAGCAGCATTTTACCCTGCATGTGTTCACAGCCAATTAACAATAAATTGCATTCTCCTGCTTTTTCTTTCTTTCATTTTTCCGATCTTCTAAGTGCCGCGATAGTGTCTCGTGATTTTTAGATTGTACACGTTTGATTATCGATAATCTAACGTTTCACTTCCTTCTTTCTCAAAGTATTAAAAATCACGATAGAAGTCCAGTCGTTAGCGAGGTATTAGGATGAGTAAGAATATTACGAATTGATTAACCAGACGGAAAAAAATCTGCTTTCACATTTCCTCAAAAATATTCTGCAATTTCTTGCTTTCAGATATAAAAAAAAAAAAAAAAAAAAAAAAAAGTCGAAATTTTTCGAAAAATTAAAATAATTAACGGTCATCGCGTTTCTCTCGATAAATAAAACCGTGCCGGTTATTATCGAGCCAGTTGATTGCTCAGAATTCGCAAGGTCGCGAACGAGACTTTATGAAAGGTTGTCGCAACTCTTTCGCACAATGCTCGTATGTCGCGCTGAAGCGAGAGAAGATCCCTTTCTCTCTCTTCTTCGGGGATGAAAGAGAGAGAGCGTACTCGCGACATTGTAAATATCACATATGTACGTACTCGCGCGAGCAAAGATAACCGTGGAATAGGAAACAATGGGGAGCGACGGTCGGGGTCTCACCACGCGGTACGACGGGAACGGTTGACGCACACTTTCGCGGAGGTCAAATTCCACGCGCGGCTAATGCCGGTCGCGAGAGCTGCGACGACCTTCGTGGCATTTGTCAGGCAGTAAGTAAAGTGCGCCGGTATCTGGAATATAAGATTCGGCGCGCGAGATGACACGCGCGACAGATCGCCCTCGCGAAATCGAACTCGCGAGTCTCTCGCCGATCGATCTAAGATTGTCCGACGAATTTTTACGCGAGCGTATTCCGCGCTTCGTAATTCGTTCATGTCTTTAATGAACGTTGAAGATTCTTCGTTTGAAATTAAATTCTCTCTTTGGTGGAAATGACGAAGGATAATTAAAATATTTCGCTAATAAATTCGAAATAAATTCGCTCGAGTATAATAGTAACCAATTTTTGCATTTGTTTCCGTTGCGTCGGAGAATAATTAATACGAATTGATTAATTAAGAATATATAGAGGCAGGAGGGGGGGACTTCTACGTGCGCCATTGTCTCTCGCTAAGCGCCGGTACTGTTGAAATTCGATACTACGATGTCACTCTCCCACATGAATGAAGTCCCTCCGCGCGGGCTGCGAAACTGCACGCGATCGCCATCTCTCGCGGGACGTGAGAAAGCTGCGCGTAAACATTGAGAATCCGTGCTCTGTCCCTCTTTCTCTCTCCTTACCTTGATGCGATAGAAATCTTCGCCTCGAGGATTCTGGCACCGCCGATTTATCACTCTGAAATACACGAACCGCGAATCTTAGGTCTGCTGCACTCTCACCGAGATCTGGAATGCCGATTACGCTAGTCTACCGTTACAATGAAATTTCACGAGATTTTAATTCCCTTACTCGATTCAGAAATCCCGTATAAATAAATCACGTTAATTTGTGCCTCAAATTTACACATGCATTCTTACGTTAATTCCAATCTCAATCTTCAATTTCAATTTTTTTAAATTCTGGACTCCTGAAAATCCCAGAATACACCTTAATTTTTCTGGATAGATTAAGTTTGGTTCAATGACAGTGTTCATAAATTCTAAGTCTATCACGGTTTTTAAAATTCGCAAATATAAGCTTCTTTTTTAAATTTTATTGTTAGATTGTAGCTTTGATAAATCGAACTACTGGGTCAAGTCAGATGATGTTAGGTTAGGTACACACTCCGGTACAAAAATTCCTATGTCTACGTATTAATTTTCACGATTTCCAACTTGTACGATTTCGCGCATTCGATCGACCCTTTCTTGCAACCTCGCTCTCAGATTCGTATCAGAAATCGATGCGCGATACGCACTTTCGTCGGCGCGTTGACGTTCTTCAGAACGGACTCGAATTTCGAGACATTGTCATAGATCGGCGCGGAGGACGCCAATCGCACTTTGGGCGAGTATAACGCTTTCAACGGGTCGAATTTCTCGCTTCCCGCGTCCAAACTCTCGTCCGACGTCTCGCTCTCTTCGTCCGCCATTGACAAGTCTATTCCTTTCACATACACATCTTGCACTAATTCATATTATCATTACCGGCACCGGCGATAAGACAAGACGATGCTACCAACGCCACGTGCGTTTCGCGAAGTACAGTCGCACTTTCGGCACGTGATATCGAGGAGCAGCATAGCGCGCAAGGCAATCGAAAAGAGCGGGAAAGGTTCAAAACGTAGCCAACTTCGGGCAATCTATAATTCGCGACCGACTTCAGGATTGCATTTTACTTACATATACACTTTTGATAAATGTATGTATTTTAATATTTATTTTACGTGAGATTTTGATACATTTTGCGGTATATAAAATTATTAAACCAATTAGTAACTTACTTTGCCTAGTGAATTAACAGTAAAGATTTCTTAATTCGATCTAACTGCAGGCTATCTTTATAATCGTCACGAAGTTTCGACCATGGGTTTTGATTCTTCTCAATCCTGTAACTTTGATGCTATAAAATTATTAAATTATTATTTTCCGGAGAGGGCTTAACGCGCGAATTTCGAGAAACTTCTGCGCGAGGCGCACACTCGTGGCAATCGCGCGCGTTTCTTTGGTCGGAAAAACGTTGATCACGGTTTGGTAATCAATCGCGACGGTATTAGTTGTTAGACGGGAGAGAGGAGGATGTTAACCTCTACCCGTGGAAACTTTCTTTCGCGGTTGCGAGTTACGTAAAAGGTAAGCGCCGACGCCGGGTAGAGGCTGCATAGAAACGCAGGTAGGCGGCGATCGGCAGAGCGGCGGGAGAGCGTGAGGTTACGCGCACAGGAAGTGAAATAGCGCTACGCGAAGCCAGAAAGAAAGTTCTCGCTCGGTGTTTTCACTTTCATGGAAATTGCCCGCGCCCCTCTTTCTCTCCGCGCCGTGGCATTACGCGAATTAGTCACGAATCATCAGCATTGCTCGTCGCGCGCGGACAGGCAGCCCCGCGAGCCGTCATTGATCAACTTCCTCTTCAGAACGGAACTTTTTTTTTTTTTTTTAACAGAGATTCCTTGTTTCTGATAAACCTTTCTGTTTTTTACTCCCACTCATATATTTCTTCAAATGCGTGAAATTTATATGAAAGGTTATAGGTTTGCGGATGCGCCCACTGTCGGATTTTCGACTTTGCGTCTCGTCTTAATTTGCATTTAAATATTCTCCTAAATAAAGAATGAAACGCGCAGAATGCATGGCCAATCCTTTCGAGATTTTGACGGTGATGTGTATGCAAAATAAATTGTTCCGTTTTAAATAATATATTTTTTATAATTTTGGAGTAGTAAACAAAAGTTGTTTATTATAATTATTGTTCAGAACAAATTCGCGAATGTGTGCGAATAGATATATTCGTGGATCATAAGTGCATTTGACATTATTAGATGTAGACCTAACCTTTCGATCAAATTTGTAACGCTAACCGTTCCAATTGATGATTCTATACCTGTATAGCGTGGGTGCGCGCGCACATGAGAGAGAGCTTCATATTTTTCTTATACATATTTTTTTGCGTATAATATTACGTCTTGTATAATGCGGGTATACAGTATACAGCACGGGCGGCAGGAGAAAGCAACATTGTAATCAAGGTGCGTTTTAGCCGAGTTCAAATTAGAATTCAAACGAAAGTGCGAACGCGGTGCGATGCACCGGAAGTTGTTACGAGATAAAGAGATCCCGTTTCGCGCTTAATTAACCGTCTCGTCGCTTATCTTAATTTATTAACGGAGAAATTAAAAGCGTTTATACGTGCCGTATCAACATTGCATGCGCGTCACGTAGGTATATTTCGGATATACTTCGGTGTACAGTAAATGAAGGAAGACTATATATTCACGCGTTTGCGTCACGCGCGGGGGAAACCACTTTGAGTTTAGAGTTAATCACGTGTAATTTTTATGGTGCGCACAATCTAATCATGAATTCTGCTTCCAGGTGAACAATAGCGCGTAGAAAAGGAAGAACCCGAGCCACCTGGGTGCGGCATAGGCGGAAGGCGAAAGAGGCGGGGAAGTCTCGGAGGTGGTTTTAGATGTTAGAAGGCGCGGGGGTGGCTAAAGTGGCCCCGCCGCCGGGTACGGGTCCCGATGCCGGTCCCCGTATCGCAAATACCCACATTAACCTCCACCCTCGTGCCCAAGGAGGAATCAAACATGCCTTTCATAGACGACGAACTATTCTGGTACTCTGACAATGACGGAAAGATGGATCTATCCCAGTGCCTTCAGGTGAGTGACTAACGGATTTAGAATTTGCATTCTAGAATTCGGGATTCAAAGAGATTCCCGCGATATTCGTGAAACTTGATAGATCGCGCGATGTGATACCTAGAATATATATAATTTGAATTTCATTGCAATAAAGAACAGAATTTTGGATGAGTGAAGCTTGAAGAGATTTGTGTGAAACTTGATTTAGAGTTTGTTAATTTACAAAATATAGAACTTAAATTGCATAAGATAGATATCTGAGATGCAAAATGTGTATGAATTATTAGAATATATTTATACACGGTAGTAAAATAATGTCTACAATCACACAGATATATATTATCAAGATAAGAAAATTCATCGAATTGATCTCAATCTTTGATTTTCCGTGTTTTCAGCAGAGCAACACAGGCCAATCAGTTGAGTTTCCGATGGAGCTAAGTGCTTTGGTAGGGACGCCGACGGCATCGAACGTGCCGACGGAGGAAGGCGCGGGTATGTCCGGTGTCACAGGGGAGGAACTTTTCGATCCCCTGGACTTCCTACGGGAACTCGAGGCAGAGGCCAGCCAACCCACCTCCACCACAACGCCTTCCTACAAGAGACAGAGGCACAACATCGCCGCTGCGAATCCTCTATTAGCAGGTGAATTGTACTGTTGATCTATCCAAACAAACTTGCATAGCTTCATAAAAACCAGATATGCATAAAGAAAATTTTCCACTATTATGGCTGGATTCGGGGAGCGCGCTATTAGCGCTATTTGCTTGTTCTATCCTTGTTTTACACCTGATGAGCGATAAAGACAGAATGATGCAATAGCGCTAATAGCGCGCTCCTCGAATGCAGCCTATGGACGCGCGTAAAATGCAATTGGATAATTTTCGTATGCAGCTATGCAAAGTCTGGATTGACTCTTACTGCATTACCGTATGTTTTTCGTACACTGAGAAAAAAATGTTGTAAATTTGACTAAACTCGTTTAGTTGTAGTGATTTGTTTAATGCAAATATTAATATATTTAAATCAAATATACGTGAGTAATATCAAGAAATTCTGAATCTATTTAAATATAATATTTTTTGAATTAACAAATGTTAGCTTGACAGCCCGTGACCGCTGCATTTAGTTGAATGAAATAATATTTCTTTGAATTACGATTTTTTTTCTCAGTGTATCGACAATATCTCTTTTTGCAATGTATGTACATTAATTGCGTCTTAATATTATGTGTCTAGAAAAATTAGCAGCGCCTTCGACACAAGGGTCTCCAACTTCCATCCCTTATGCCTCAAGGGCGGAAATTAAGACGGAGAACATCCAACCCGAGACGAATAAAGGTAAGTGATAAATACGTTGATTTGCGTCTATTTTGCTTAACGTGCATCGATATGGCAGGAAAATACAGCACATATCGACGATGCGAATTTTCTGTATTACCGACATCAAATCAGCGGTCGGTAATGTACATTTCGTGGGTACTTTTGTACCGAGTAATCCGTACAACCTTCTTTATCTTCGAGCGATCAAATCGGCGCGTATCTCGGTCGGTCAAGTCGCTTTCCGTGCGTGCCGGGAATTTCAATCGCGCATCGCTGAAAGGAAAACCGGCCAAGGTCCCGTGAATCGCAAGCAGACATCCGCGTTAGCGATAATTGCGCGTGTGTGAGACTCGCGTACAGTGACTTGAGAGAAAAAAAAAAGAACGTGTACACATCCATGCGTGTGCGTGCGGTGGCCCAATTCTTATAATTTACAGTCGTGTAGTAATGTGGTACGCGCGCGAGTGCATTTTCGCGCTCATTTTGCGACTTTGCTCTGACAAACGTGAACACATCCGCAAAAATGGCGCTGTTTCACGCAGCGTTATCGAACAGCATGCGTAATGAAAACGTCTCGGTGAACCTTGTTCACACTTGTGCATACACGCATTTTGCGTAGATATATTATGGTTTTATTTTCAAGTGATAACGATCTTTTGTCTAACAATAAGTCGGCTATGCCGAATAATAATAATTAAAAAAAAAATTGCCAGCAGAAGTGATATCTATATAATAATTTGTTCAGAAATTGCGAAATATGTCTCTAAATATCTTTTTAAACTCTTTAACTGCTGAATCTTTCGACAAATGTAATTTTGACGCTTTAAATATCATATTACTTAAACGACAAATAAATTCGTTCGTAACAGTTTATTGCATATGACTAAAAAAGGTGTAATAATTAAAGAAACAATTGAAGGAGTAAAAACCATAGTGGTGTAAGTAAAATTTTTTTAAATATTGACTTACATTACTATGGCTTTTACCCCTCCAATTAATAAGAGGTCAGAATTATTACTTTTTTTTAATATTTTTAAAATTTATATAAATTAAATTTTAATTTCCAACGATATAATTTCTATCTTACAAATAAACACACATATATATTTCTGCACATTTAATGAATTTTATAAGCATCAATTCACAGAACGTATGCACGATAGCTCGATATTTGTAAATAAATAAACGTATATGAATACGGATTAAATACCTAAATCTCCTAGATTCTATAAATTCTAAATTCTACAGAGAGCGTAATTTCTGCAATTCTAATCTTCTTAAATGCTAAATTATAGAGATCGAGAGATAAATACTAAATTATAGATTTCACAGATTTTGTGATCCACTGACTTTAAAGCTTAAAACATAAATAGAATAACAACGCTATGAGATATCTTAATAAAGTTTAAATACGCAAGAAATCTGGTGTTGGATTTACAGGTTTTTTTTTCATTTAAGGATTTTTATCGTTTTGCACTCGGGATTTGATCGTCGATTGGCCATTCAGATTTTTTATACGTCAATTTCAACGCGCGGGTTTTGTCGAACTTTTGACGAGGCGGAGGAGCCTCGCAATTTCGTCCTGACCGCAGGCCGCGACGAGTAATTACGAGCCGTTAGAACACGAATTGAAATGGGTGCTCATCGTTGTTCTTTTCACATTTTTAGAAAGCGGTTGGAAAGTGAGAAACGAAACTTTCTAACAAAACTATTACAAATACAGTTCGAAATCTGCACCCCAATGTTATATCAAATTTAAATCAAATTGCAATAAAGCTAGAATGTACGAAAGCCGCAATACTTTTGCTTTTCACGCCAATAGTAATTTTCTCCATGAGAACCGAAGTTGAATGCTTGACCACTTGACGATTGCGGTTTTTTTTTTTGAAAGAAGAAAGAAAGGGAAAGAAAGAATGCGAAAAGAATCTTTCACTTTTCAGTAAACGCAATAAATTTTATTAAAAATAAAATTATACTAATTGTGAGATAACAACAAAAAGATGAAAGAAATAAATTTTATTTGGATATCAAATTATCTTAAATTACTTGATGAGAAATAGTTAATTTTTATGAATAGAAAAAATACATTGATTCTTATATATTTCACGAGAATTACATCGTTGAAAGATTTATTAAACACGTTTATATCACACAAAATAATTCAAAAGATCAATTTAAAAAATCGCTTACAAAGTTTCCGTTGCGTATCGAATATGAAGCACGATGCATTTTAGAAATTAATTTACATTTTTGTGTTTATTGAAGTATCCACGATTTACATTTCACGCGCGTGCGAGCCAACTCGCTTTAAGTCCTACTTGAAACTGCGTTTTTAATCGAGACGCGAAAGCGGCTTAATCGGATGTAGTTTATTAAGGATGTCCCGCGTGTTATCCGGCAGATTTCGATCGCGATACCTGGTGAACTCGTTAGACGAACGAGCGGGAGGAAAGCGAGCGTATGGCGCTAAATTTACGCTAGTTTTCTGGCGTGCGTCTTCGACATAAGCATCACTTTCACCGAGCACTCGATGCGTAACGCGCGCGCAAAAAGCGGTTTTTCGCCCCGATTCGCTGCCGTTACATGCTCGATCGAGCGGTCGCGCGCGCATGTCGGAGGGATTTTCATTTCTGAACGCGTGCGTGCAATTTGTACGTTTTCGTCTCCACGCGTCATCTTTTCCCTCTCAATCGTCCCGAGGTGACGGCGAAGAAAACGCCGCGCCGACGAGCGCAGCTCGTGAAAACAAAAGTAGGGCAGAAGAAAGTAATCTCGCGTTAAACATCGGAACGCGAATAACTATATAATTCACTTTCGGCTCGTTCCGTTACGGGAGCGACCATCGACTCGGTGCAACATGCACATTTCTTCAGGCGACTTTCCCGATTTATTAGACTGCGATCGGGGCGGAACGACCAAAGGCCTGATGCCTGCCCGAACTCTCTTGGACGAATCCGTTTGAACGGGTCCTAATCCCGTGTTTCAAACTTTGCCAAACATTTCGCAAATCCTGGATTTCTCAACTCCAACTTCTTTACGAGCATCGAATCTTACGGATTCTCGTTGATCCTCGATTCCAAATTCCAAAGAGACCTGGATTTGATTTCGTATTACACGGAACCTCAGATCTACGATTTTTCACTTAGAATTCTCTATCCCGCATTCACGTATACTAACAAATTCTTAAATTTCTGGATTCTATATCGATTTCAAATTTTACTACAAGGTGAGACTCGGTTACCCTAATTTCTATACAGATGTTAATCTTCGCGGTCGCGGCGTGTGACGGAAGTTCCGTGATCTCCTCCGGATTCTATCGCCTACAAGATTCTACACCCCGGGTCCCCCTACGGATTCACGGATTCCGGGTTTCACCGATCGTAGCCTTCTCGGATTTGGGATGCCGCGGATTCCCGGTCCCGAAAACGGCCCTCCGCGTCGCGCCCTCGCCGTTGGAAACGATCCGGGGAATGGAATTCGTCTCGATAACGCGCGCACGACGCGCGACGCGCAAGTGCATCCGTCCCCCTCGTGCATTCCCCCCTCCTTTCGTCTCCCGTCTCCTCTGCCCGCTGCATCCAGCTGTCCTCCACCCGTTCGCTGCACTTGTCGCTACCCTCGTTCCCTTGACCCTCCCCAAACACATAAATTCTCCCCGTCCGCCCGCTTCCCCTCCTTCCGTCTGTCACTGCCCGGTTGGGGCCCCACGGAAATAGATCCGAGATTCGTGCGCGCCGGCTTTCTCCGCTTCCTCGCCTAAGCGGAGAAGAAACAGGTGCACTGTAAAGATATTGCGCCGATATATCTCCCGCCGATGTATCGACTTCGCGGTCATCCGAGACACATTTGCCACGTGACCGATTAAATCCTCTCTGCGCGGAGAAAATCTTTCGCACGACCTTTAATTAACACGTGTAATTAATACGATATTTAAGATACATATCGATTTGTGCTACATGTATTTTGAAGAGTGTTTTAATTAACGTAGTTATAAAGTGTGACTAATGCATTTGTAACGCTATCGGTTTTGTTTTGCCAAGTAACAAGAATTTACGTTCGATAGCATTGGCGAACTTTTGCTCGTCTTTCACTTCTCTCCTTTTTCAACGGTTCATATATTTTTCTCGAAAAATATGCAGGGTGTTTGAAGCGAATCAATGATGAGGGCGATCGATACTCGCCGCTGCTACTCACTCATAAACTCGCTCATAAATCAATCATTAGCTAAAGGCTCAGGCCTATTTACAATAATCGTAATATGCTTTCCCATTAATGAGTGCCAAGAAATATGTTTTTTTCCCCTCCGTGTCGATGTTATCGGACGTTTCAGCAGGAATTGTTCGATATTATACTTCCCAAGTATCACGCGTTAAGTAATCGCGTGGGAACGGACGGGGCAAGGATAAATTGCGAATCTGAGAAAGAGTTTACTATGTAGTGGGTCTAAGTAATTCTATGTTAATTGCTCGATCCCTCTCCCCCCCCCCTATCTCTCGCTTCGCGGTGAGCCACACTTTAAACGGCCCCTCGTGATTCGAGCCGATAACTCGTTTTCAAGCGATTCTATACTCTCCGCTGTTCGACCTTTTACGATTTTCTGGGTTTCGCCCGCGATGTTGTTGTTTTACACAGCTGCCGCTTGCCGGTTGCGTGCTGCCAACAAATCCCACGCGACGTTGCACTTGCCACACTTTTTCTGGAATTTGCGATGCGATGCAACTGCAACTTTCTTGCGAACTTTTACTAACGTTGGGGGAGATCCCTCATTCCACAAATACGGGGACGTTCTTAGAACGTTACAATTTATTTCGATATCGAGCACCGTTATCTTATCACCGTTTTATCTTCGGCATCGAATAATTATACACAATATCTTAGACGATTACATTAAAAGTATTGACAGGTAAAATAATAAGTATATTAACAATATCTTAGGTCTTAAGCTAATAACCCTGGACCGGCATATATTTACTGACAATGAGTGAATTTATTTAAACGGTCGTGCATCAGTAAGTTAA